AAAAAAAAATCCCAAGAAACTAATCCAACTTGAAAAGTGGCACTTGCCACCGCGAAAAAGTCCACGAGTTTTGCGGGTTATGAATAATTTTGCATGCGCTCACTCCAAACGATTAAATTGTCTTACTGTCTTTTTGCGTCTGGAATATCCCAGGATTTATTATTACTTAACGACCATTCAATGAAACGGATTTGGCAAATGGAATTGTCTGATAGGATATTCATCCGCACCTACGGACTTTAATGTAATGCGATATTTCCAAAACGAACAGTAGAAAATTCAAGCTCATGTGCAGTTTCAGCGCAATCTCCGGGAACCGATACCTCGGTAAAGCCCTTCTGTGGTTACACTCACATAGAATGCAGTTACTTCGATGAATATTAAGTAGTATCACTACATTACGCCCGATGGATTCTACAGAAATACGATATCGCAGTTGGGATTTCGTGTTTGGATACGGAGATGTTCTATTTCCAATTGCAATAAACCCTCGTGCAAGTTTTGTGAAATTTCCTGGAAAGTATAAGAGCAATTTTTATGAGAGTAACACAGAATTGGATTTTACAGGAGAATAACAATTCAATTTCAATTAATGTGTGTATAATCCACTGGAATTCCATTTCTAATTGGTAAATTTCCTGACAAATTTTCATCTAAAACTTTCAGGATTTTCAAGAATTCAATGTAAAATTGGTTTCTCTGTGAAAAATATACAATTAATTAATCATCTAAAAATTCATCCAAAATTATCAATATCTAATCAACTAGAAAAATTGAATTTCTCCACAATCCCAAAAGAGAAACCATGCGATTCGAGTAATTAATCATTTAATAAAATAATTAACCTATTGATGAAAAATGGACAATTTAAATGATTAAATAAAATGGAAAGATTGAATTCACTTAATTATTTACCGTAATTATAATTGAAGAAAGATTAGAAAAGCCGTTGAATAGGGGAAAATCGATGGGAAACACCTGTAAATATGGAATAATATTCTATCTAGAGTATAATCAGAAATTCTAGAAGCCCCCAAGTGCCGAGTGGGGATTGGAGTTTTGCCAAACATCCCTCTATACCCCAACGTCCATCCAACCCCTCTAGGGTCATTACGAAGTGGACACAGTAGCACCGAGAATGTCCAGTCGAATCTAATCTGAAATTTGGCGTGCACAAGGGGCCAGACAAAAGGGGAAATCGTGGTACAAGTGAGACGGGTTAGGAAGCTATTGCCATTTGCACAAGTGGAAATTTCTCTCTCTTTCACCTTCTCGCTCGGGTGGAAATCATTCCGGTAAACTGGACTTAACCAATAAGATGATTTCTAGATTCAGGCGATATAACGGCAATATGTCCAAGTGAAAGGGGTTTCTTTTGTAGCTTCACCGGGGTGTGGGCTTCATTAAGGACGATCGCAGAATAATGCGTTGGGGTAATTCGTCAAGGGGATATCCTTAATGGTGATACGGTTTCATTTGGGTTCAGAGATAAATTGGGAGATCCTTCACTCACTTGAGCACCAGTGGACAAAGGCCTTTCCATTTCATTTTTGCCACTTACATTCGATAGGCAATTAAAGCTATCGTTCAAAGTTCTATAATAAATTGCCATTAGTTATAATATTTCCACTGATGTTTTCATCATTTTTTCATTAAAAAGTTATTGGGGAGGGTGGGGTAATGCAGACACAGTTTTTTAATGGCGTCAACAATTGATAATGGATGTTGTCACAGTTTCATTTGGAAGGAGACAGTGTCTAAATAGTCTTGGGATAAGCGAAGAAGAGGGTTAAATGAACGCTTTAATTTGATTTTTTTTTCAATTATGAAAGTTTTCCCCAGTCCTCTGAATATCCATGAAAACTCATTTTTTATCGAGGTTAGCAATTGAATGATTAATGGTAATGGGTTAAATAAATTTAGTGATTTTTCTTCAATTTAGAGACATTCGTGAAAAATCTAGCAAACGGAGTGTGTGAGTTATTTTTTTTTGCTAGAAAATATATAAATCTCACAAGCTTCAGATTCCAAGAGAAAATGCTTTCATCGAATTCTTTCTTTTTTGCAATATGTAAATAAACATTATTCAACATTTTTAATTGAATTTGTGGGTTAATCTCAGTCCTACCTATCGTAAGCCGACCTTACACCAACATTGCACCAACCTTG